CCGCATGGTGGTGGGGGGAGTGTCACGGTCTGAGGCTGCATGGTGGTGGTGGGGGTGTCATGGTCTGGGGCCGCATGGTGGTGGGAGTGTGTCATGGTCTGGGGCCGCATGGTAGTGGGGGTGTCATGGTCTGGGGCTGCATGGTGGTGGGAGTGTCATGGTCTGGGGCCGCATGGTGGTGGGAGTGTCATGGTCTGGGGCCGCATGGTGGTGGGGGTGTCACGGTCTGGGGCCCCATGGTGGCGGGGGTGTGTCACGGTCTGGGGCTGCATGGTGGTGGGGAGTGTCATGGTGTGGGGCCCCATGGTGGTGGGGGTGTCATGGTCTGGGGCCGCATGGTGGTGGGGGGGTGTCATGGTCTGGGGCCCGCATGGTGGTGGGGGTGTCACGGTCTGGGGCTGCATGAGTGCTGCCGGCACTGGGGGGCTACAGTTCATTGAGGGAACCATGAATGCCAACATGTACTGTGACATACTGAAGCAGAGCATGATCCCCTCCCCCCACAGACTGGGCCGCAGGGCAGTATTCCAACATAACGACCCCAAACACACCTCCAAGACCACCACTGCCTTGCTGAAGAAGCTGAGGATGAAGGTGATGGACTGGCCAAGCATGTCTCCAGACCTGAACCCTATTGAGCATCTGTGGGGCCCTCCTCAAATGGAAGGTGGAGGAGCGCAAGGTCTCTAACATCCACCAGCTCCGTGATGACGTCATGGAGGAGGGGAAGAGGACTCCAATGGCAACCTGTGAAGCTCTGGTGACCTCCATGTCCAAGAGGGTGAAGGCAGTGCTGGAAAATAATGGCGGACACACAAAATATTGACACTTTGGGCCCAATGTGGACCTTGTCACTTAGGGGTGGAGTCACTGTATACAGTCCGGGGGAGGGGGGGCTCACTTCTGGGGATACTGGATATATATATATACATTGTATACAGTCCGGGGGGGGGGGGGCTCACTTCTGGGAGATGCTGTATATATATATATATACATTGTATACAGTCCAGGGGGAGGGGGGGCTCACTTCTGGGAGATGCTGTATATATATATATATACATTGTATACAGTCCGGGGGAGGGGGGGGGTCACTTCTGGGAGATGCTGTATATATATATACATTGTATACAGTCCGGGGGAGGGGGGGTCACTTCTGGGAGATGCTGTATATATATATATATATATATACATTGTATACAGTCCGGGGGAGGGGGGGTCACTTCTGGGGATATATATATATATATATATATATATATATATATATATATATATATATATATATATAACGTATACAGTCCGGGGGAGGGGGGGTCACTTCTGGGAGATGCTGTATATATATATATATATATACATTGTATACAGTCCGGGGGAGGGGGGGTCACTTCTGGGGGATATATATATATATATATATATATATATATATATATATATATATATACAACGTATACAGTCCGGGGGAGGGGGGGTCACTTCTGGGAGATGCTGTATATATATACAGTTGCAAGAAAAAAGTATGTGACCCCCTTGGGATTACATGGAGTTTTTGCATGAATTGGGCATAAAAATGTGCTCTGAACGTCATCTAAGTCACAACAATAGAAGAACACAGTCTGCTGAACATAATACTACACAAACATTAGATGTTGCCATGGTTTAATTGCACATAACATGTAAACATTCACAGTGCAGGGAGGAAAAAGTATGTGAGGCCCTAGCTTAATGACTTCTCCCAGAGCTGATTGGAGCCAGGAGTGAGCCAACCTTGACTCCAATCAGTGTGATGATATTGGATGTGTTGCTGACACCTGTTTTGGGTTTACTGGTTTCAAGAATTACTGTCTGATGTGAACCATGCCTCGCAGAAAAGAGCTCTCAGAAGACCTACGATCAAGAATTGTTGACTTGCATGAAGCTGGAAAGGGTTACAAAAGTATTTCCTTGAGCCTTGATGTTCATGTGTCCACGGTAAGACAGACTGTCTACAAATGGAGAAAGTTTAGCACTGTTGCTACTCTCCCTAGGCGTGGTCGTCCTGTAAAAATGACTGCAAGAGCACAGCGCAGAATGCTGCATGAGGTAAAGAAGAATCCCAGAGTGTCAGCTAAAGACCTACAGAAATCTCTGGCACATGCTAACATTTTTGTTGACACGTCTACAATCAGGAAAACATGAAACAAGAATGGAGTACATGGGAGGACACCACGGAGGAAGCCATTGCTGTCCAAAAAGAAGATTGCAGCACGTTTGAAGTTTGCAAAAGAGCACCTGGATGTTCCACAGCACTACTGGCAGAATATACTGTGGACAGATGACACCAAGATTGAGTTGTTTGGGAAGAACACACAACACTATGTGTGGAGAAAAAAAGGCCCAGCACACCAACATCAAAACCTCATCCCCACTGTGAAACATGGCGGAGGGAACATCATGGTTTGGGGCTGCTTTGCTGCCTCAGGGCTGGACGGATTGTTGTCATTGATGGGAAAATGAATTCCAGAGTTTATCAAGACATTTTGCAGGAAAACGTACGACCATCTGTCCGCCAAACTGAAGCTCCGCAGAGGATGGGTGATGCAACAGGACAATGATGACCCAAAGCATACAAGTCATTCAACAAAACAATGGCTGCAACAGCACAGAATACGCCTTCTGGAGTGGCCCAGTCAGAGTCCTGACCTCAACCCCATTGAAATGCTGTGGCATGACCTTAAGAGAGCGATTCACACCAGACATCCCAAGAATATTGCTACACTGAAACAGTTTTGTGAAGAGGAGTGGTCCAAAATGACTCCAGATCGTTGTGCCGGTCTGATCTGCAACTACAGGAAACGTTTGGTTGAGGTTATTGCTGCCAAAGGAGGGTCAACCAGTTATTAAGTCCAAAGGTTCACATACTTTTTCCTCCCTGCACTGTGAATGTTTACATGTTATGTGCAATTAAACCATGGCAACATCTAATGTTTGTGTAGTATTATGTTCAGCAAACTGTGTTCTTCTATTGTTGTGACTTAGATGACGTTCAGAGCACATTTTATGCCCAATTCATGCAAAACTCCACGGAATCCCAAGGGGTTCACATACTTTTTCTTGCCACTGTATATACATTGTATACAGTCCGGGGGAGGGGGGGTCACTTCTGGGGAGATGCTGTATATATATATATACATTGTATACAGTCCGGGGGAGGGGGGGTCACTTCTGGGAGATGCTGTATATATATATATACATTGTATACAGTCCGGGGGAGGGGGGGGTCACTTCTGGGAGATGCTGTATATATATATATACATTGTATACAGTCCGGGGGAGGGGGGGCTCACTTCTGGGAGATGCTGTATATATATATACATTGTATACAGTCCGGGGGAGGGGGGGTCACTTCTGGGAGATGCTGTATATATATATATACATTGTATACAGTCCGGGGGAGGGGGGGTCACTTCTGGGAGATGCTGTATATATATATATACATTGTATACAGTCCGGGGGAGGGGGGGGTCACTTCTGGGAGATGCTGTATATATATATATATATATACATTGTATACAGTCCGGGGGAGGGGGGGGTCACTTCTGGGGGATATATATATGTGATGGATTTGGTAAAATGCCTATTCTGTTTTCTGTTTAAAATATACATTTTATACATATTTACTTTTATACTTTTTTTATATTTCTAAATATATGTGTTGTGAGTATATATATATATATATATTTTGTCTGCTGGGCTTTGCAGTCCTCCTTAACTTGTTTTGCTCAGAGCGATGCTCTCAACCCCTCCCTTCGCACTGAGATGATTTCACTTAGACTTTGGGAATGTGAAGGGGAGTGAACAGAGATAACGGGATGAGAAGCATCAAGTTTCTACATTTCTCCTATATTTCAGCCAAGCAAAATGTGCCTTTCAGAATGTGACTGTATATACGTAATAGTGACATGTACTCTATTGTTCTCTATGTATAAAAGGTTAAGCACCGCCCTGCAATAAACAGAGATGAGATGATGTGAAAGTGGTTGTACTGGACAGTTGTCCGTGTAATTATTTTCCGGCACGCAATCCATATCTCAAAATTAGGAACAGCAGCAGAAATCCTACCCTGAGCCCGATTGTGGTTCTCCCAACCTTTTTATATATATATACATCGTATACAGTCCGGGGGAGGGGGGCTCACTTCTGGGAGATGCTGTATATATATATATATATATACATTGTATACAGTCCGGGGGAGGGGGGGACTCACTTCTGGGGATACTGTATATATATATATACATTGTATACAGTCCGGGGGAGGGGGGACTCACTTCTGGGGATGCTGTATATATATATATATATACATCGTATACAGTCCGGGGGAGGGGGGGGTCACTTCTGGGGATGCTGTATATATATATATACATCGTATACAGTCCGGGGGACAGGGGGGGGACTCACTTCTGGGGATGCTGTATATATATATATACATTGTATACAGTCCGGGGGAGGGGGGCTCACTTCTGGGAGATGCTGTATATATATATACATTGTATACAGTCCGGGGGAGGGGGGGCTCACTTCTGGGAGATGCTGTATATATATATACATTGTATACAGTCCGGGGGAGGGGGGGTCACTTCTGGGAGATGCTGTATATATATATATACATTGTATACAGTCCGGGGGAGGGGGGCTCACTTCTGGGGGATACTGTATATATATATATATATATTGTATACAGTCCGGGGGAGGGGGGGTCACTTCTGGGGGATATATATATATATATACATTGTATACAGTCCGGGGGAGGGGGGGTCACTTCTGGGAGATGCTGTATATATATATATACATTGTATACAGTCCGGGGGAGGGGGGGTCACTTCTGGGGATGCTGTATATATATATATATCTGTAGCGGATGGAATGCCCCCCCCCCCCCCGGACGGTGTAACGTATATAATCCCCTCCATGGCCGGTGATATGTCTCTGGAAATGCTGAGATAGAAATCATTGAGGTGCCCACTTACCTCTGTGTATGGGGGAGGGGGGAGGTAGGTGTGGGGGGTTCACATGTCCCTCTGTCTGTCTGACTCCATTGTAATCCTTTCCTCTCCTGACACCAGCTCCGCTCTGCACTTTCAACCTGATCTGCAAACAGCTATTTTAAGCCATGACAGCAGAGAGCCGGGAAATGACAGACAGGGGGGGGGGGGGGGGGGGGGGGAGACAGACACAGAGAGGGGGGGGGGGAGACAGACACAGAGAGGGGGGGGAGACAGATATAGAGAGGGGGGGAGAGACAGACACAGAGGGGGGGGAGAGACAGACACGGGGGGGGAGACAGACACAGAGAGGGGGGGGGAGACAGACACAGAGAGGGGGGGGGAGAGACAGACACAGAGAGGGGGGGGGAGAGACAGACACAGAGAGGGGGGGGGGGAAAGAGAGACAGACACAGAGGGGGGGGAGGCAGACATAGAGAGGGGGGGGGGGGGAGAGACAGACACAGAGGGGGGGGAGAGACACAGAGGGGGGGGGGAGACACAGAGAGAGGGGGGGAGAGACACAGAGAGGGGGGAGAGACAGACACAGAGGGGGGGGGAGAGACACAGAGGGGGGGGGAGACACAGAGAGGGGGGGAGAGACACATAGAGGGGGGGGAGACAGACACAGAGGGGAGGAGAGAGACACAGAGGGAGGGGAGAGAGAGGGGGGGGGGGGGAGAGAGGGGGGAGAGGGGAGAGAGAGAGGGAGAGATAGAGAGAGGGGGGGGGGGAGGGGGGAGAGAGAGAGAGAGAGGGGGGAGGGGTGGAGAGATAGAGAGAGGGGGGGATAGACACAGAGAGGGGGGGGAGAGAGGGAGGGAGAGATGGAGAGAGGGGGGACAGAGAGGGGGGGAGGGGGAGAGATAGAGAGAGGGGGGAGGGGGGGAGAGATAGAGAGAGGGGGGAGGGGGGGGAGAGATAGAGAGAGGGGGTTTCCGGATCCCACAGACCCCATAACCACCAGCCACGGTTGTGGGGAAGAGGCCCTTGTCCCCATCAACATGGGGACAAGGTGCTTTGGGGGGGCGCCCCCTCATGTTGAGGGCATGTGGCATGGTATGGCTCAGGAGCGAGTGAGCTGCCCCCCCCCTTTCCTGACCTGCCGGACTGCATGCTCAGATTAGGGTCTGGTATGGATTTTGGGGGGGACCCACACAGCATTTAAATAAAAATTTGGCATGGGGGTTCCCCTCAAAATCCAACGCAGACCTGAAGAGAAGCGTCTGACAGACAATAAATGTGTTCAGTATCACCCCACACTAGGATACGGCTTCCTGATTTGTCTCCTCCATTCCAAGTTCGCGGTTGAACTCTCATTCGGTTCGAATATTCGACCACAAACTGGACAGGGGGGTGTTCGGCCCCCATCACTAGCAGAGATATCTCCTCTCCCCGCACCGCAGGCACTACCAGCCCTCCTGGCTGCTCGGAAGATCTCCCGGGACAAGGATGAAGGATTGAGCTGTCCTTAGGAAGCTCGCTATGTTTAAATCTCGGGGTGTGCGCAGATGTGCTCCCTCTGTCCTCCTCGCTCCAACTGCTCCCAGGCCTTCATCCTGCTCATACTGTACTGCTGAATGGACCCCCCTGAGTCAGCCTGAGCCCAGTCTGGAGGTCAGCCCCCCCCTGGACCAAGGGGACCCCTCTCAGACCACCGACAGCCTCTTCAGCACTCCATCTTCCACCCGATTCCGCTGTCATCCTCTCTGTCAGGGCTGGGCTCCTGCTACTTAATGAGCAACTCTTTTCTTTCATTGCTCAGAAGATGCTCAACTGTTGGGTCATTACCCGTCACTCATCTCCATAGCGACTCACCTGATCCCATCACCTGGATCCAATCACCTGATCCCATCACCTGGATCCAATCACCTGGATCCCATCACCTGATCCCATCACCTGGATCCCATCACCTGGATCCCATCACCTTGATCCCATCACCTGATCCCATCACCTGGATCCAATCACCTGATCCCATCACCTGGATCCAATCACCTGATCCCATCACCTGGATCCCATCACCTGATCCCATCACCTGGATCCAATCACCTGGATCCCATCACCTGATCCCATCACCTGGATCCCATCACCTGATCCCATCACCTAATCCCATCACCTGGATCCAATCACCTGACCCCATCACCTGGATCCCATCACCTGGATCCCATCACCTGATCCCATCACCTGATCCCATCACCTGGATCCCATCACCTGATCCCATCACCTGGATCCAATCACCTGGATCCCATCACCTGATCCCATCACCTGGATCCCCATCACCTGATCCCATCACCTGTCTCATTAGTCCAGCCCACAGACAGCTCTTTTTGCTATTTTTATCAGTTTGGCGCATTTCCTCCTTGCCCTTACATGGTCTATGATCCCCTTTGTGTTCCTACAACTCGGTTTGGATGACTTTCCCAATTCCTGACTACGCTGACCCCGGCTCGTCTGATATCCTGCTCTGGCATCCGAACCCCGGCTCGTCTGATATCCTGCTCTGGCATCCGAACCCCGGCTCGTCTGATATCCCGCTCTGGCATCCGAACCCCGGCTCGTCTGATATCCCGCTCTGGCATCCGAACCCCGGCTCGTCTGATATCCCGCTCTGACATCCGAACCCGGCTCGTCTGATATCCCGCTCTGGCATCCGAACCCCGGCTCGTCTGATATCCCGCTCTGACATCCGAACCCCGGCTCGTCTGATATCCCGCTCTGACATCCGAACCCCGGCTCGTCTGATATCCCGCTCTGGCATCCGAACCCCGGCTCGTCTGATATCCCGCTCTGGCATCCGAACCCCGGCTCGTCTGATATCCCGCTCTGGCACCCTGAACCCGGCTCGTCTGATATCCCGCTCTGGCATCCTGAACCCGGCTCGTCTGATATCCCGTTCTGGCATCCGAACCCCGGCTCGTCTGATATCCCGCTCTGACATCCGAACCCCGGCTCGTCCGATATCCCGCTCTGGCATCCGAACCCCGGCTCGTCTGATATCCCGCTCTGGCACCCTGAACCCGGCTCGTCTGATATCCCGCTCTGGCATCCTGAACCCGGCTCGTCTGATATCCCGCTCTGGCATCCGAACCCCGGCTCGTCTGATATCCCGCTCTGGCATCCGAACCCCGGCTCGTCTGATATCCCGCTCTGGCATCCGAACCCCGGCTCGTCTGATATCCCGCTCTGGCATCCTGAACCCGGCTCGCCTGATATCCCGCTCTGGCATCCTGAACCCGGCTCGTCTGATATCCCCTTCTGGCATCCGAACCCCGGCTCGTCTGATATCCCGCTCTGGCATCCGAACCCCGGCTCGTTTGATATCCCGCTCTGGAATCCGAGCCCCGGCTTCTGTTTTGACTGCATTCCTGATCTATGTTATATTTGCTATTTCATTAAAGGTGTGATTTTAACTGCACTTTCTGTCTCCGCCTGGTTGATGGTTCCTGACACTCTCCCATATTTATGGGTTGGCCTCACCACTCTATCAGGGCTTCCAAACCTCGGATTGGTTAGACTCCTATAAACATGTAGATTAGGTCTCCACCTCTTCTGCCCACTGGTTTCTGGACGTTTCCATGGTCCTCCAGCACTAGTTGGAGGCGATAGAGTTTCCAACTGTTAAGTCATCCATCTTGACCTGCTGTAACCCGACCTACTTACAGACTGAGACAGTCACCGTGAGTCCTACACAATGCTGTAGATTTACCTACACTAACACTAGCAGAACACTAGAGGGTGCTACAAAAGCAAATTTGTCAAGCCCTGCAGTTTCAGATAGAACTAGAAAAGCTCCAATTTCTGGGGAAATTGTGTGAAGTGTTCTTGCCTCCACCAGTAGTCTACAACTGGAGTGGGCGGAGTAACTGGGAGAAGAGCGGTTAAAAACAAACTGCTCCAACTTGCTCACTTCACTGGCGTCTTCAAATGGTCATAGTTTTAAAAACTATAAATCCTACACCGAAGAGCTTTATATTGTGAGAATCACAAGACCCGGACCTACATTGTGATGTATAGTATGTCTCTGAAATATTAAAAATGAAGGCACAGTCGCAGTTTAGAAATTGCCCTTCAAATTTGAGGTGGCTAGAGTGGAGTTTCAATGAATGTCAATGGGCGGCGTGAGTTGCAAACAAATGGTCATATTGTGAAAACTATCAGGACTGTGGCTCAGCCGTGAACATTTTTAGTGGCAGCCGGGATAGCTGAACGTTTCCATATCAGATTAGTGTAGGTGGGCTTGGAAATGAGGGAGTGATGGCAGTTCAGGAATCATGTCCGGATTTTTCAGCTCCCACTCTAGTGTTGAACATTCCGCCATTCATTCCTATGGGACCAATTTCACCACAAAAACGGCGATATTTCCTGAACCATTCGGGGAAACGTTCCACAAAGTAATAGCCCACCAATGGGGAACCATCCGCACGTTTCCGTATATTACTGTCTATGGAGTGTAAGATCTGTGGGAGGAGTTAGGGGGGTAAATGTGGGAGGAGTTAGGGGGTAAATGTGGGAGGAGTTAGGGGGGTAAATGTGGCTATAATAATCCGAATATATATATGTGAGATGACAGGAAGTGGTCGCCATGCAGGAACACTTAATAAATTCAAATTCAAAATGCAGATTCGATACTTTTCAATTTGATTGAATTGAATTGAATTCGACCAAATTTGAAAAACACGGATGGAATTTGAAAATGAATAAACGAAACAAAACGAGTTCTGAAAACGAATTTAACTAAATGAAATGATGGAAATAACGAAAGGAAACCATTTTCTTCATTCCGCACTTCTAATCACAATAAATCAGGGAATGAAGTGGGGAGTTGAGTGTCCGAGGTCGAATCATTTTCTGCTGTTCGCTCTCTTTGGGCTGTTAAAGATCCACTGAAAGTCTTCTATTACACGGATTGGAGGAGTCCAAACAAGATCTGTCCATCCAGCCAGGAATCTTATGAGCTGATGACTTCCTGCACTCTGATCTGGACTGTTATCAATTCCATTGTTCCCTGCCATCTCCCTGGACTACAAACCCCTCCCCCACACCCATTATGGAAATGGGGGAGGTGCTCTGTAGTCCTAACACACTCCCTGTTGGAAGG